AAACAAAGGGTGAACCGCATAGCTATAAGCTGTCCGCGGTGTATATAAATTATACAATACAAAAGCCTATGAATAAAAATAATTAAAATATATATATATATGAAAAAGTTATATAATAATGATAACAACAAATAAATTGTGTATAAAAATAAAGATATTGGGCAGTGAGTATATCATTTGAAGTGAGGGAAAAAAGTGTTTTGGCATAATCAGATTATTCATGAGATTGATGTCTCTTAGTCAATAAGACTATGAATTGTTTTTCTTGGTATGGAATAAATGAACTTTTTTAGGTTTTGTTTGAATTTATGGACCTTTGTAATGTCTTTGATTTCAACTGGTAGAATTTGGTAAATTTTTGGACCTAGGTAAGAAAAACTTTTTTGACCCTTTGATGTACGCATAAGGGGAATTATGTAAGTGAGATTTTTGTTTCTGGTGTTGTACCGATGATCTGAAGTTTTCAGCTTAGATTTTGAAATATGTTGAGAGATATTGCCACGTAGGAAGAATAATTGTCTTGGATCGAGGATGCCAGATTCATGAAATAATAGATCCGAGGGGTAAGTGAAATCTTTATCGAATATAATTTTCATCAATCTTTTTTGCATTATCGTGAGTTTTTCCATATAGACTTTGCTGACGCCTCCCCAAGCTAGTATTCCGTAGATCAACCGAAGATGCAATGGCACACATAATTTCAAAAATATATCAAGCAATGGATGAAGGTAATCGATCCTTATGTATCTTCGTTGATCTGGCAAAAGCTTTCGACACTGTTTCTCATGAAAAATTGCTACGACTACTGGAGAATATTGGAATTCGAGGTGAAGCATTTGAATTACTATCAAGCTATTTGTCAAACAGGAAACGGTCGGTGAGAATTGGAGATTCATTGAGTGGTGAACACATAGTAAAATATGGAGTACCTCAAGGTACAGTACTAGGTCCACTTCTCTTTAACATATATCTCAATCAATTGTTTAGTCTCGAGATCCAAGGCGAAATTGTCAGCTTTGCTGACGGTTATCTTTTACAAAAATTCCTCTTGGGAAGAGTTGAAAACTCTAGTGGAATATGATTTCATTAATGTAATAAATTGGTTCAATTCCATGTTACTCAGCGTCAATTTCAAAAAAACAGTAATAGTTCCCTTTTGTAGCACAGTAAATACGATGCCTGAATTTGAGAGATTACATTTCATCATCTCTCATAACAAAACAATTGCTATATCGATGGAAAATAAAACTAAATATCTAGGTATAATCATTGATTGTCATCTGAGATGGGATCATCATGCTGCATTCGTGACAAAAAAGCTTAGAGGACTTCTACACAGATTCAGATTTTACAGAAAAATATTTGATATGAGATTTCTGAAAATACTATATTCCTCTCTAGTACAAACACACATCACTTATGGTATACTCACGTGGGGAGGAATAAAAAATAATCATCTGAAGAAATTGGAAGTCACCCAAAAATGGCTGCTAAAAATAATTTTCAAAAAACCATATAGGCACCCTAGCAAACAACTTTTTGAAGAAGCGCAAGTCTTAGATATTAGACAACTTTACTTTCAGTCCTTAATGATAAGACATCACAAATTCAAACATAAGGCTCAACAAATTTTTCATAGACATAATACCCGGTATAAATCAAAATCAACACTTATTCCCAAAACCAGAAAAACGGTCTCTCAAAGATGTTTTACTTATCTTTGTCCTGTCCTCTATGCTGAGATTACGTTCTACTTGAGGGAGAATAACTTCATTAGATCATTCAAAAAAAATCTTAAAGAATGGATTCTAAATACACCAAGAGCAAGAATTCATCAATTAATCAACAGAAAGAACAACTTATGACAGCACTATTTGACATTATATATTCCCTTACTCTTGTGATATTGAGTTATATTTGCAAAAACACATACTATGTTATTGATATCATTTATGAATATTTATATACATATACATATATATTGCATTATATTTATTGCACTATGTAAACCATACATGCTGCGAGTAGCATATTTCTATAGGTCCTTATTATAAGTTTATTGTATTTATTCACTGTTATATTGGCTTTTTTCAACACTATGCTTCATGCTCCATATACCCACATTCAAGGTTCGCCTTTGTGGGTCTTTGAAGTTTGTTTACCGAGTGTGAATCTGAAGATTTGTATATTTCTTGTAGATAATCTAGTTATTTTGTTATTATTGTTTTATTGCACAGTGGTTAATAAACTTACTTATTATTATTATTATTATTATTATTATTATTATGTAAGATGTGGTTCAACTAATGACTTATATAATGTTCTCATTGACTCATATTCCAGAATATTTTTCAGAAATTTTAGTTTGTATATCAAGAATTGTAATTTTTTTATAATAAAGTCGATATGTTTGTCCCATTTCAGGTTACAATCTATCATTACCCCCAGATATTTAATGCAGGGACACAAACTTATTGTGGTGTCATTGACGATACTAAGGTTATTATAGGAGGGAGCATTTCTCTTATCAATATAAATAGGCATACAAAATGTTTGATCGAAGTTAATCGTCAGTAGTCGGTGCTTGAAAAAGCCATGGATGAGGCGAATATCCTCTTCGACTAGAACTTTTAGTGTCTGCCAGTCTTCATGTGTGTAAAAGATCGCTGTGTCATCTGCATATGTAATTATTTTACCTTTGGTATTGACTTTGAAAAGATCATTCAAGTAAATGTTGAAAAGAAGTGGCCCAAGGACAGTTCCTTGAGGCACTCCGTATTTCACCATTTCTGAGGTACTTTTTTCTGTTCTCACCTGTACACACTGTGATCTGCCAGATAAATAACTTTCGAACAATTTCAAGGGTACTCCTCTTATACCGATTTCTCCTAAACATGTGATGAGTAATTCGTGACTTACTGTATCGAAGGCCTTTGAGAGATCTATGAATACACATAATGAGGGTTTACCTGCATCTAAGGCATTATACATGTTTGTGGTTAGCTCAATAATAGCATCTTGGGTAGATACTCTTTCTTTGAATCCATACTGCTTGTTGGAGATGATATTGCTTTTGTTCAAATAATTATTCAGACGATTTTTCAATAATTTTTCAAAAATCTTTGATACAGTTGTAATCAGGGAAATCGGTCTATAGTTTATGACATCCTCTCTATTCCCAGCTTTGAAAATTGGTTTAATTACGGAGCTTTTGAAGATCTCTGGAAAATGACCTTGCGTGAAGCATTTATTGAAAATAAAAGCCCATGGCTTCTTAATCACTGGTGCCAATATTTTTATTGTTTCTGTTCTTATTCCGTCGATTCCAGGCGATTTTTTATTCTTTAGTGTTAAAATGACACTACTAACTTCATCAGCGTGGGTAGGTTCTAAGAACATAGATGATGATACATTATTTTGAACGGGAGGAATGTAATTGGGATCTCTGGTAATATTCTTTGCGAGGGTTTCACCTACTTTGATATAATGTTCGTTAAATATGTTAGCAATATATTTCTTGTTGGTTATTTTGTCTCCATTGTGATTTATAGCATTAATTTCTTGATTATTTGAATTATTCTGCGGGTACAGCTCACTCAGAGTAGTCCATGAATTTTTACTATTTTGTGCATTCTGATTGACTTTCATTCGGTAGTAATTCGACTTTGTTATTCTCAAAAGGTTTCTCAGTTGATTTCTGTATCGACAGTAGCGATGTTTCAATTCTATATTTTCAGGTTCTCTGAGCAATTTCTGGTAAATATTATCTCGTCTATTGATGGATTGTATTAGACCGTTTGTGATCCATGTTTTACGTTTCTTTACCTTATATTTGTGAGTAGTTGTACAGTTTGATATTTCCGTATTCAAAATATCCATGAAAATGTTTGTTGCAGTTTCAGCATCTTCCGTTTCGAAAACTGTACTCCAGTTGAAACTTCTCAGCCTATCTGCTAGTAAATTATGATTTAGTTTGGATTGATAATAGAATTTATTAGTATTATTATTTGTCAAGTTGTTTTCGTAAATTATTTGTAAGATCACTGAGAAATGATCAGTTGCATTCGTTCGTACTATCATTGGAAGAAGAAGTTCTAGGTCAGTGTTAGTTTTTACAAATATATGATCTATACATGATCCACAGTTTGTTGTTAATCGAGTGTAGCTATTAATTGTCGATATAAAACCAAATTCTTGCATAAGAGTTAGGTACTCTGTACTTACCATAGTCTCTTCTCTGATGTCGATATTAAAGTCTCCTAAAAATATAGTATAATCAGAACTCTTTGTACAATTTTCGAAGATGTTCCTTAAATTTTCTAGGAACATATCTACACATGAATTAGGTGGTCTATATCCGGCTATTACATGAATATTTTTGTTCAGATGTTTTATTTCCATCGATATGAATTTCAAATCATTACAAAGATTCATAACTTCGTATACGTAACGCAATTCAGATTTTATGTATATAACTGTGCCATCATTTTGATTATAGTTGCCATGATTATAAATGATATCATATTCTGCTAGGTTGTATAAGTTCAGATCTTTCAACTGCCATGTTTCAGTCAGAACGATGCAGTCAGGCGATTGCGTGAGCTGCTGTAAGTAACATTGAAACTGATCTAAGTTTTTACCGATACTCCTAATGTTCATGTGAAGTATTTTAAAATTTGAATTTCCACTGTTCACTATGAATACATCATTACATTCTTCAAAGTTTGATACTTCTTCGGTTTTGACTTCATTTATGGTAAAATCTCTAATATACTGATCCATATAGAAGCCGCAAATATTCTGCAATTTACCTACCTATATAAAATTATTAACATAAGATACACCAAAGAAATCTTATTTATGTTTATATATAATATATGGACATATTATTATTTCAGCTTTTACATCACAATATACTAATAATAATACAAAAATTAATGACATAGAATAGAATAAAATAAGAACAACAAGATTTACGACTAACTTACTATAATACTTGGTTATTGTTTCCGGACTGGAGGAGTTTGTAATTTTACTGTAGATCTTGTTGATATAGAACCTTGTGATGGTTTTCTATTTCTTGCTTCATTCACGAAGGTTTTTCTTTCGTTGGATTCCAATTTTTCCAGTTTTTGTGTCGCTTCTTTCACGTGCGGAAATTCCGAAGATTCTTCGCTGACGATATCTACACTTGTTGTTGGGGTAGGAGGTGCGCTGTTATTTTTTCGAGTTGGAATATCACTCTGAGGAGATCTAACCCCATCAGTTAATTCTTCGATTTTTGCAGTTTCCTCTAATTGCTTCAGTGTATATCTTTCACCATTCACGATGAGTTTATTGTATGATATTTTTGCGTTGTAGTTTTTAGCTTTGGCTTCCTGAAGATGCTTATATAACTTTTTTTGTTCTTCCCTTTCTTTGGGAGTTAAATCATTGGTGATGATAATTTTGACCTGTTTCAATTTGAAGCTGTTTTTAATAATGATCTGCTTTGTGAAATTTCGAACGAATTCTACTATGACTGGTCTAGATTGCCCTGTTTTTGCTTGTCCTATTCGGTATATATCATTCAAATCGTTTGTTGTTATTGGTATACCAAGATTGGTTTGTATCAGATGCACAAACTCATCTTGAAGATTCTGGTTTATACTTTCAGGTATTCCGAAAATGATATCGTTATTTTTTTTCAGTTTTTGTTGGGTAAATTCCAATTGTCTTTTCAAATTTTCATTTTCAGATTGCAGAACCAATACCTTATTATCTAATTCGGCAATATGTTGTTTTTGTTCTGCTAAATTGCATTTAATGTCCTTCACATCGTCACGTAATTCTCTCAAAATTTGCAAAAGGTCATTATTTGATGCTTGACCGTTTGCTCCCATACTATTTGTATTTGGTTTATCTGCACTTTTTTGCGGAAGACAGTATAAAGAGAATAGTTTTTGCTGAAGGTTGATTATTCAGAACACTGCTCGTTATGTTTAATATAGACCACTTCTAAACAAATTTTGCGTAATAATTCACGAAAAGTCTGTTTCAACAGACGCACTCACTGTTTATTCACTATGTTGCTTGACGCACCTTTTTTTTCGGTCTTTTTTTACCACATTTAAACTCGTTTTTCGAGAGCGACAAAGCAAATAATGCTTCACGATTTGAATAGATATACCAACGTTGATGAGGAATTGATATTTTCGTTAAGTAGCGCTTTCCTAAGGGCACGGAAAACTCCTTTTTCACAACACCTGTCAGTTTATGGTGTTGTCAAAACAAATCTTTTGGCAATTACCCTTCATAAATCATTTTGGTATATGAAATTCCAATGAGAATAATGGTATGCGCTCTCAGGGCACGGGGCTCTTCATTTATTGAGAACCCGTTTTTTCATTCAGAATTCGATTTTCCGACTATGGGCATTGAAAACAATTCCACAAATAGAAGCATCCAATTTTTCGACTCCAAAACTTCTAATTAGGCTGAAGATGGTCTTCTATATGAGACCGAAACAGGTTCCTTCCGATTATGTCACAACACCATTAGAATTTGTGGAGATGACTTCGAGCATACATTCCTTCCTCTAGAGAATTGCCTCTCCTGTTCCACCTCTACTATCATTTTCTAATATTGTCATACGTCCTAGATGACACAAAGACATTCAGATGACGTTCTGGGGACGTCCTAATAATGTACTCCATGTTGTCGAGAGGTATCCCCAAGAAGAGTCTAGCACGTCCACCAGATACCATTTTTCAAATGCAAATCTTTTTTCAGAACATCCGAATTCATATCCTCCTACGACGTTTCAGCAGCTTTCTGAGGATTACACTGAATGATGTAATCAGGATGTCGAGAGGCATTCGCAAGACGTCTCAAGGACGTCTACCTGTTACCATTTTCACATGCAAATTACGTCTCAGAATATCTCGATAATATCTCCCAGAGATCTCTGGAAGACGTCTCAGCAACATTCTGATGAAGTTCTGAATGATGCACGTATAATGTCGTGAGGTAGATTCAAGGACGTCCATCTCTTACCGTTTTCTAGATGCAATATGTATTGGGAAGAACTTGACACCAGACTGAAAGATATTCTTCCTGAGTATGATGAATGTTGATGATTGAGCTTATTTCTATCAGAAGTCGAATATAATAACTGAATTTCATTCAATAACAAGATTGAAATTCATAATTAAACTGAAATGAACAGAATTGGCATTCATTCCTCAACAAGAATGAACAGAATTAAAATGTTATCTGGTACAAAATGAATATAGGATGAATATAAAAAATATGTTTGATTACTTTGAGAATGAAATAAATTAATCATACAATTGAAACCTGCTTATGCTGGCCTGATACAGAAAAACATATATCTCCGGAACGAAGCACATGATTCAGACAAATAAAAGGAATTCTATATTTTCCATGAGAAATTTGATGAATATGGTTCAACATCCATGAAGAGAAATTCCTACAAGAGCTTTGGACATTCATGGTGCTCACTATCAATTGCAACTTAGCATGGAGCATTTCTGGTATCGAATTAATGAATTATGTAAATTTCATCCTAACGACGATGAAGATGTCAGGATAAAAATACCCTTTGCTCTCCGACACAGTATACACTGATTACATGGGTACAATTTCCAGGCTCATTCCCCTTTTTCCCAATTATCTAATCAGGTTAGAATTCGGTCTCACCTTATTGACCTCGGTTGTTCCTTTTTACTCTTAATTTGTACCCGGACCATTACAGTCATTTGAAAGCGTTTGGCGTCTAGCATCGCCAACACTTAGTCGAGGACCTCTCAATTTCGGGCTCAATTAACGCAGATCGAGCGTCACACGTGACAAGCTTTTCAGTGTTTGGCATGAAATGTTAGCTCACTCGTGTGCCGACAGGTCAGAGAAAAGTTGTAAGACAATCGCATGGTTCCGTTGTTCCGTTTATAGATCCTACATTTTCAGAGGACATTATAGTTTATCGAAATAGTAAAGTGGATATTGAGGTCATTCAAACACGCACGATTTTTTGAGCACGACGGCATTGCCACGAATACTTTAAGCGATTCTGTTTCATTGGTACACCGAGAGATATACAGGGTGTCCCGAAATCAGCCTACCAAACTCCACCAGCGGCTTCTCCGATCAAAAATAGGAAGAAAAGTTTCAATGAACATGAATCGAGAAATGTCTCCTAAGGGAGCTACGGCCCCCTCAAAAGGGGGCTCCTGAAGATGATGAAATGATGCAATTTGGTACAAGAAATGAACTTCCCATCTCCAATGCGGTGAATATAAAATCATTTCAGGGTTTCATTCAGGAGTGTATAATAAAACGATAAATTCAATCAAGTATCAATTTCCTGGGACAACAAAACTTATAACTATGTTGATCTTCTTCCAACTCGATGACACAAAATATTGTTTTATTCCTTTGAAAGATTATATTATTACAAGACATATACGCATACACTGAGGAAAATTTCTGCTGATTATAAACCACCTGCGATTATTAGATATAGAACCTTGCTGTCACTAGCGAATGCATCTGTATGATGCTATTAGACGATATTTCTGTAGTAGGTATCTGACTTTGCTACCGCTAGTGAGTGCATCTAATAATGGGAGTAGGGCAATGTTATAATCGTAGGTAGGGAACTTTGCTACTCTTGATGGGTGATCATATAGATAGTTGCATGACCTTCTTACTGTATAGTTATTCAGTTATTTTCCAGAATTGTTGTCATCAAGAAAGGTGAAATTTTGACTGATATCCACTGATGTTTGGTATGAATAGCAATTCATTGATTCCTTGAGAAAATTTCGGACCAATGATCTTTGAAATTCAATAGATCAATTGATTCATGCACCCTCAGGAAAAACCAAAGGGTTTTTTGAGTAATTGATGAGAAAAAGAATTTTTCTGAAACCTTCTGAAACCATTGTGTTTCGAAAACTAGGCAAGTTATTACAGATGCGTACAGGAAAACAAAATGTTACCAGTAAAATCATTCAAATAATTTCATCACCTGGACATTTTTGCTCGAAATAAGTTTTTAGACCAGATTCTATAGAGAAGCTGTGAAACATATTTGACCATTTCAAAGTTTCATGATACCAAAGAGAGGAAAATGTTATTGAATGTAAAATATTTGAATTTCAGACGAAATACCTCGAAAAAACTCACCTTCATCATTCCATCAATCCTGGTATAATAACTGAAGCACCCAGATCTACGAAAGCACTGAAAGGGACACAGAAGATTTTTTCATTCATTTGAAAATGTTTCCATTTTATATTTGAATTCAGATTCAGATTTTGAATAATGAATTGAATTCAAGAGGGGAAATATTCGTAACTCTCGTGTCGTCGAGATTGTCGTCCTGTACATGGGTTTGCATCAAGAGCCCAACTGTGAATGATTGATCAAGCAAGATGTCTGACAAATGTTCACATAGAGGGGGACAAATAAGAAAAATATCGAATAACGATGAGTAGGCGCTAAATAACCCCAAGTTGGTTCGTCAAATATTATTTTTGTGGCAGACTGACAAATGTATTATTGGAAGTAAGTGCAGTTCTATGCGATGAACCTCGCAGCCACAAGCATATAACTCACTAGTAGTAGTTCAGCTGACAATTATGAAAACATCATGCTGTCCCAGAGTGGCTGCCTGATAGCTACAGCAGTATAACTTCCTGTGGCAGGAAATTCACTTTCAGCAAAGTCGTTATTGCTATCATAGGAATTGAAGGTGCTGCTTCTATTTGAAAATGTATAACGGTAATATGATTTCTTGCAATGGTAGTAAGAAATATCTCAGCAAAAACTTTAAAAGCACAATTTTCATCAGTGTATCCTCTTTTGTATTCACCATAAATGTATATGCAACACACATCACCTTCAAATCCAGTTGATCGAACATGAAAGATGGATGAAGAATTATTATTGATTGGACATAAACAATTCGCTAGTGATAGTATATTAATTGTCTTATTTTTATTCGGCGGAAAAAATTGACTTCTCGAATACTACTAGTTCTGCAACTTCAAATTGAGGTGAAATCGCAGTCAAAAACAAACTGGATTTAGATAATCTCACTCTTTCTAGGAAAGCCACGTGATTTCATCAATCGCTTTGTTTTTGTAATAGCACCGAAAGAACTCAAGTGATGATTCTGTGATGAGAATTGAGGTAAGTATTCTGATATAACATTGAATCCCAAAATTTTCTCGAAAGAGTTACTTCCTTCTAAGAATTGAAGAGTTTCTCATTTTCCCTGGGTTTTCATTCCATGGGAGGAATTGATAGAAAATTCCTATGAATTTTGAAGAACATCACTGGTACTCATGAAGGATGGGGTAGAAATCAGCTGTTGGATTTTTTTACCTCTCGGATGTTATAAGTTATTGAGAATGATACCATTAGCAAAGAATTGCAAAGCTTTGTCGTTTCATGAACGAACGAGTTTTGGTAAAGTGTTGTATGACATATTCCAAGGTTGACAACGACAAGATGTCGAGTTCGTCTGAGTGATATATTGTTATTGATGAAATGATATTCCTGAGGAACATTTTCCGTGGAAGTATCTATAGAACAGTGAATGGTCGCCGACTCCTCTAAAATGTTGTTATGAAGTTGATGTATCAGTAAGAATGGAATTACCCACGAGGCCAATGGCTCTTTTCTGAATGGAATCTGAGCTGGAGTTACGAAACTTGGTATAGATATCATTCTCCAATAATACCACATATTTCAAGATGTTCTGAACACTGAAGTATGCTCAGAATGGGTTAATTTGTATAAATAATAACATCCGAAAGTTTGAAAAAATCCAACAACCAATTTTTTTCCCTATCCTCCATGAGTACCAGTGATG